GATGATCGGAACTCGCGTGGTGGTTTATGCTCCTTGATGGGATCAGCAAGCTTCCTTGATCTCACCGGAGGTGGCCGTGCACACTACGCCCAGGATGTAGCCGTTGTTCATGGCTCTGTTTGATATTCGGTATAAAACGCGATCACACACACACACTTGGTCTTATGCACTCACACACGCATGCGTAGTCTCTCGCACGGGTGTGAATGGCCGTTTTATTAAATATGTCCTGTCCTCTGCAATGTAAGATGCACCCCAAAGTGCTGCCCGGTGTCAGCAAGGTTATACAAATATGTTCGCACACACCCCAACTGGATTATAAGACGCACCCCCAACTGCAATGGCACGTCTGGAACCCTGTCCGATGGAGTTTCACAGGCACTGAGCGACATTATTGGGGTGTATTGTTCACATCTCACACTGGGCAATGAGAACACCAATTCAAGTTTTGTAATGCTATGTCCATTTTTATTTCAGCAGAAGTCCTTGAAAGATGTTGACGGCATTGGGAGACCTTAATCCAGCAGTGGATAGACAACGGCTCGTGATGATGAGCAAACTCTTTGTTTTTTTTCGGTAAAGTCACGTAGGTAAAAAAAATCAATACAATAAAAATAAATGAAAACAACTAAATTATTTTATTGATTTTTTTACCTACGTGACTTTACCGAAAAAAAAACAAAGTATGAATCCTTGCAGTCACGAAAGCTTCAAATCTAGAAATGACGAGCAAAGTTTAATTTGAATCCGCTTTGGAGGTGGGTTGAAAGTTCAGATTTCGTTTCAAAATGAGCATGCTTATAGAAACACCTCCGTAGCGTCTCTGTGTGCCATGAAGAAGGGCCATTGCCCGAAACGTCTTCTATTATATATTTCCTTTGACGATGTGTTGAGTTGTTTTTACGTGTGCTCAGAAGCGATGTAAAATGTAATACTTTGCTAGTAAGAAGCCACGTGTTAATATAGACAGTACAATGCACGTGCAGTCCATCATTATGCACAAGCCAATTCAACTCAACCATATGCATATCAATACACCTTCATACATACGCCCTTATAAATTATCGTTATACCTAATTTAACATGGTATGGTATGGTGAGAGATAAATTCCCCACACAACTGGCTTGACCTACACATTACTCTACCGTGGCCGGTCACACAGAGCTACTTAAAGTGAACGCGTAGAGTCCTGCTCTAAAATCCCGGTTGGTTTGCTGAGAACCACCCTGCCGCTCGTCTTTCTGGCTTCGAGCTGCCACGCTAAGTCATGGGCCCTGCTGCTCGACAGGTCCCGTACCGACCAGGCTCCGTATGCAGCCACCCTTGACCTCAATACCTCCGAAGTGTCCAACTGGATACCACTGACACAGTAGAACGTGGGGGCAGGGGGTCCCTTACCCCCCCACCTCCCACTCACTGGTGGCCAGAGCTACGAGCTTGACAACCACCATGAGAGACAAATAAAATATTGGGGCCTCGCCTGACCGATTGCCGCACCCCTGAGCTGACAATGTAGTTACGCACTGACCAGACCACCCTGATAACCACAGACCTCCACACGCGGCGCCAAAGTGAACACAACAACACACTCTGTGGATAAGGTCAGTGACAGACCACATGGTCACACATGGTCAACGAGTGCCCTCTGATCGGACTCGATGGTGGCCTCAGGACTATCCATCCACGCTGCCGATGAAGCAACTGTCGTGTGGCTTGGCGAGACAAGCATATGGTAATCGTAATAAACTAAAACACACTTTTTTATTTGACCAGGTAAGGCCCATTGAGCTATGTAACTCTTTTTCAGAAGGGACCTGGCCACAAATGATTGCTCAACGAAGTGGTTTATCACGTGGAAATGTATAAGCAGCCAAATACTCTAAACGCACGTTGATTCTAAATGTGGAGGGAAATACTGGAGGACCCGGAGACATCCATCTGACCACGGGGAGAGAGACATGGAAACCCCAAATGTACAGGCGTTGTCAGGGTCGGGATCGCCCACAACCTCCTGTAGACCTGGCGAGGTAGTTAACATCTCGCCAACCTGGCGCTCACTTATTAAATCAGTGCAAGTCGTTAACACGTTCAAGTTCCCTTTTTGTTCTGCTCTGACGAAGGCTCCATGCCTGAAATGTTTGCCGATTGTTTTAATGCTAATGAGGATTTGTCAGTGTGTGTTCGTGCAATATGGACTGCGTAAAAAAACAGAACTGCTCCTCACAGCTCTCTTGGGCCGTTGTATTTTGAAGAGAAAATAACCTTGTTACTTGTGTAATGACAATGGAGGCTGCATGCGGTGCGAGGGGACTAGTGGCCACGGGAGGTAATGACAGGGGAATCAGCTGTGAGTGTGAAGGAACTAGTGGCTCAGGGAATGTTCGAGAAGGGAGCGGGGTCAGGCGAGGGATGAGGATGGTGGAGTCTGCCGGTAGAGGGAGCGTCCAGAGTCAGCGAGAATGATCGAGAAGGGGGGCGTGGCCTCGGTCGGTATTTAAGGGAGAGTTGCGCGTAGGACTCGGGGCTGTTGCGGTGGGGTGTCTGCTTGATGGCAAGTCAACGCGTCTTCAATAAAGTTCCATCTCAAGAGAAGTTTGTCAAGTCGTCATTACACCTTGATAAAATTATCATTAAGTCGTGATTATATATGTAGTGGGTTCAAACGGAGACTCAGACGTTCTCTTCGGAGGCAAGACATTTATGAACACCAACACACACTAACACGAAGGGGTAACTGCCCCTTCACCAGATAGCAACCTATGGTGGTGGACCCCCAGGCTAACTACACTAATTACACTCGGGAGTAGCTACGAATGAACAGGACCCCAGCTTGGGTCCAGGTCCACGTGTTGGTGACTCTTCTCCGACGTCGAACGTGGAACGTCGATTCTTCAGGATGACAACAGCAGCCGGTCCCACTGGGGGCCCGGCTAATATCCTGTGTGGCGGGGCTCGCTCCACCCCTAGCCACGACCCCCCTTCTGGAATCCGCGAGGAGGATCTCCAACTCGATACGTGGTCATCCCAGCCCGACCTTTGGGGGTCCCCGGGTAGACACCTCCGGGCACGTGTCCTCCGGGGTCAACCAGAGTGCCATGGCCACTTGAAACCCCGTTCCGAGGCCGGCACCCTCGCACCCTATCCTGTAGGGGCTGGCACTGCACGCAGCACGTGGTGCCATCTATGACTGTCAGTAGTCAGTGCCCCCTGAGCCCCGCTCGGGCCGGTAATGCATCCACCTTCGGTGGGGTCTGGGATGTTGATCCATCGCGCGCCGTGCCTCTACCAGGACGGCTTCACATAGTGACATGCAACGATGTCACGACATGCATAATAACGTGTCAAATTGAATATCAACATTACAATTAAAGTAGCGAAATAACTCAAGAACATTGCATGAATTACTTCACACATTTTGACTCTTGGTTGTGAAATAAATACATTTTTGTACAAATTATTCGGATGATGCTGCATTGACAGTGCACAAGCACAATTACACAAACATTCATAATTAACTCTGGCCCTAAAATAAAAAAAAAATACGTAATCGATGATTCAGGAAATGGCATAGCATATACTGTATATAACATACATATGTATACACGTGTGTATACAGTATATGTCCTATGAAGGTCCATTTCCCAAAACGTCACCTGTAATGTTGCATATTTATTTAAGTTGAAGGCCACGGAGTCATTGATAAATATGTTGCATTATTAATTGTGTACAGGTCAGTTGAGATTAAACTGATCCACATTTGTACTGGAAGTGTGCAGGGAAGAACAATTTCTCATTAATTTCCCTATCGGCTCTCCTTATTGATAAATCGAACATATAATTAACGTATTTATATTGAGTGGCTTGCCTATCATTTCCTCTATTTTACACTTTTATAGTTTATATATATATTTTTTTTATTTTGTGCTGTTGTAACTTGCTGACCCGGTGCCCCTAACTGGACATCTGGTGGGAAAGAGCTTCATAGCTCATCGGATTCCCACCTGCAGTCTCAATAAAGATTCCGATTGAACCCACATCCAGGCCATCCATCCACCCAGTCTGTACTTACACCCAAACTTCCCTTTCACGTCTCGCTGCATAGAAACAACGAAAACACCGAAAATTAAATATCACCCAAATAAAATCACGGTAAAACAACTCGTCTCTCGCACGGGTGTGAAATCAGAGATGGGCACCTGCTAAATCACACGCAATAATATTTTTTTTTACTTTAATACATTCGTAAATGCCTTATCTAAAACTCAGAGTAATTGGCGAGTTGCATTTCACTACATTCAATATATTTATCCCCCCCCACCACCCCCGCTCCGCCGCACCTCCGATGAGCACACTTGGCTACGTACGGTGCGAAAGAAGTTCAACGCGTACATACACAACACACGTAAGCAGTACAACATACAGGAGCACATCACAAACATCAGTCAATGTATGTTTCCCAGGCTCGGCAGTACCGCAACATCTACGTGGGGACTTTGTGTGTCTGTGTGCTACGACCTGGGACTCTCACACCGGTGACCGTTATCTCAACCCGGTATCCCCGGGCCTCCCCTAGGTCGACTCAGCCTAAAACGAGTACCTGGTGGGGTGTGTAGTAAACATCGCCACCGGGGGGGGGGAGAGAGAGAGACAAAGACGGCCGGGCGTGGTGTTTGCCCCCTCCCTGTTGTGTGCCGTGCCGGCCTTCATAGACGCTACGCCAACAACAACACTTGCCATCAACGGTCCGATAAGGCGAAGACGACGACGGGGATCTATCAACTTTGTCTTTGGCGTGACCTTGACCCAGATTCTAACGAAGGGGTGCTTCAGGACCCGCGCTACCCCCACCCACCCACCCCACCCACCCCCACCGCCGCTGTTCGCCGCCGCTGTTCGCCGCGGTCCCCAGATTTCGGCGCCAAATTCCAGAAACTGTAAAATCGAATCGCGGGCAAAGAGCGGCAAAAAAAAAGAAACCCCGGGGCCCCCCCATCAAAGGCAGCGGCCGCAGCACTCCCGGCTCTTCCCCAGCCGCCAGGCAGGGGCCCCCCACGCCTCACTCGAGGCTCTGAGGGCCCCCCCCCTCCCGCCTCATTTCCAGGTAAGTTGAGTGAGCGTCGCGTGTGGGGGGGGGGGGTGGAGAGGCTGGCTGATGCCGCAGCTGGATTGGGGGGGGGTTAAGAGTTGGTCAGTTCCCTGATGATGATGATGTTTGGTGGGGTTAAGAGCAAGACGTTTTGGATTATGTAAGTTGGTTATTAATTGTTGTAATATAGACCGTGGTGTTGTGTGTGGGGGGGGGGTTGTCCTCGGGCCCCCCTTGAGCCATCAACAAACCCCGTGCGAGACCGACCCCCGCCTTGTGTCAAGTTCACGGGCACAGTTTCGCTCGGGCTTTATACGCGCGCTGCAGTCTATAACTGCACGGAGTATTATACTGTTATCTAAGTTGCATAGTTGTTACGGTTATTAACAAACAAAGACACACACACACGAAAAAAGACACCCGCCCGTTAAAATGTTATTCAAAGTTGCTAACAAAAAATCTCTAGCAAAAGGACGTTTTGCACTATTGGAATGATGTATGCAATTGTCGGGTATGATGTATAACAAGCAAAAACATTAGTTGTGGTTTATTTGATAGTCCCAGACACGTCGACGAATATTTGTATACATTGATGCACGATGGATGTGTGTCATGGTTGCAAGAATATAGACTTTGCTTTGGTCTATATGTTCTATAATAAGCTAAAACAAAAAGAGTTGCTTGCCTTCAACGAGCTGCTCAAGAGCCGCTGGGATAATCGCAATGACCAGCGGCGAACGCAAATTACGTTTGTAAAGTGCGAGCGTGTAAGAATATATATTATTGTTCTCCTCCTAGAGTCGCTTATACAATCGTTGAATGTTGGTAACTTAAGCAGCGCATCCACAATTCGAACGTTTGATTAACGAGCAAAAAGGAAGCACTTTCAAAATGTCGAGGTTGCACCCGCAATTTGGTTGGTGATAGTTCAAGACTCAAGTTCATCTCTCTCATTACAGACTTAACAATTCACACACGAAACTTAGCTGAAGCTAACCGTAGGGGTTTAAACCCTCCAAAAAATGTGCTACTTCTGACGGTCAGTAATTAACAACAAAATACAACCGACGCAATCATTTAAATCTTGCTCGCCGAATTAATAAAGTTACGGCCCACACCAAATCTAAAATAACTCAACCTTGTGTGGGACCGTAAAGCTATCCCGTTCAAAAAGTCGGCCTCCAGCCAGCTTGCTCGCCCACTGGCCAAGTGCTTAATGTTTGCCAGTCCGGGTTTTCCAGCGAGCCAAGGGGGTGCGGGATGACATTTGCATTGAGTTGGGCTTGGCGAGGCCTCCTTATCATTCAGCAGTGGATTGATCACGGCGGTCGATTGAAGTCGCCAATTCTTTCGTCTTAACACTGCGAGGACGCGAACGGGGGAAAAAAAACAAAAAATCCAGTACCGGATCTAACACGTGGCTGGAATGGAGTTGTGCATTTTTGTTAAAATCGACGTGTTAATTAACTGTTCGTGTAAATCACGTTAAATATAAAAAATGACTTTCGGACACATTCAATATACTACAGTATATGATAACTGTTTTTATATCAATGAGTTTTCCCAGGTCGTCTTTGCCAAAGTATAAACGACGAATATTCTCAACGCCGCAGAGATCGATAGCGGGGAAGTACACTTATTCGATAGGCTGACGCGTTCAGTCGCAATGATTATAAAGTTGAATTGCCCAGTATGTAAATCCAGTTAAGTTGTACCGCGAGGAGCGGTGGCGCAGGGGTTAGCGCGCTGAGCTATGAACCCGGTCGTCTGAGTTTAATTAACATGAAGTGGCGGGAGATGCCAGACCCGGATTCTGGGAGATTGTCACCTATCACCGGACCCGTACGTTCGAACCCCCGGCGTGGTGAAGTAATTGTGAAACAACTCACATTTTTTACCGAACTTATTTACCGAAACGACGCACCTCCGATTATCACGGTTGGCTACGTACGGTGAGAAAGAAGTTCCAACTTACATGCCTTCGTCCAGCAGTAGACTGTTACAAGGGTCGATACGCATTACTGTATTTACTGTGATTTACACACGCTGACTACAGACCGCTATTAAGAAAAAGTAAGTTTTAATGTAGAAATCGCAACGCACTATTATATTAACTTGTATCCACAAATACTGTACTGTAATCCCAAGATTGTTTCCTTGCATAATTCTCGCAAGCGATCATTTGCAAGTACTGTTGCTACTTACTGAGTGCTATATTTGTTAAATTAAGAAGTGCATTTAGAATTACATTGGCAGTCTAAACAGGCTACAATACCCCCCCCCCCCTGTATTAAACACGCGCACGTTGTGTTTCTTCCATTAACCTTGCGTTACATTATTCCCATCAGATGACTGATCCAGAGAGACGCGATTTCAGTCTAAATGAATCGTTTAAAATCTTTAATCGATAAGCGCATACGGGGTTAGTGTGTGCTCCAATTACACAGTGCTCTGTTCACGCTTGCGCCACACGTGGTGTTGAGTGCAGAGCATTTGAAATGTAGGCACAACACAATAATAATAAGTATGGTCAAATACACGGGGTGTATTTAAATACACGGGGTGTATTTAAAGACACGGGGTGTATTTAAAGACACGGGGTGTATTTGACCATACTTCACCACGGTGGTGAAGGGGGGGGGGGGTGTTCCAGTCGGAACTGTTCAGATATCACTCGCCACTGATGATGAGCCGTGGTCCAGGAGTCAAACATAGGTGGCCGAGTTAATTTGGCGGTGTGCGGGCCCATTGCACCACAGCACCTCCCCCAAACACCATGTATCCAGTGCAGTTATAGAATTGGCACATTAAATGCCGTATATCGAGCAAGTATACAGAGAAAGTATATCTACACTCAAAACGCGTGTATAATTTGTATACACAGCTGAATAAATACGCATGTAGTACGTGCACACATCACCTTTCCGCACTAAAAAATATCATGAGCGTTGTTAAATCTTGATTTAAAGCTTTCGTGACTGCAGGGATTCATATTCTTGGTTCTTTCGGCAAAGTCACGTACAAGGGGAACAATAAAATAATAAAAAATATAAAACAATAAAATTCTCACGACGTTTCGACTGCAACACAAGCAATCATCATCATGTGTTTCGACTGCAACACAAGCAATCATCAAGTGTGACACCTGATGATGATGTCTTGTGTTGCAGTCGAAACGTCGTGAGAATTTTGTTTTATATTTTTATTATTTTATTGTTTCCCTTCTACGTGACTTTACCGAAAGAACCAAGAATATGAGCGTCGTTATGAATATAGCAATGGATATTTTATTTATATTCTTTCAAACTACTTGAATAATTATTTGAGTTACATATAATGTTGTGTCGAACTAGGAACAATAGCGTGAAGGGAGGGTCGTTGACTGTCAAATCGGCAGTTCACCAGCATTGATTACAAGAATTCCAACTGCTGATGAGACCACAACATTTTGAAACCGGTCCAGAGTTGTGCTTGTTTTGACCCAATACTTCTGAAATCATGCGCTCCCAGAAAACTCCGTGTGGCTGGTGGTTTGTGAAATAAATGTATTAATTTCATATTTCCTTTGCATGTAGAGAGACGCGTACGTTAAGAGAAACATCGTCTGCGGTACAAATCCACGACCCTGTTTGCGAAGTTGAACCCGCATTTGGTAAATGCTGCAAAGTGATATTCGAATTCATTCAGGTATACAAATAAAAAAGCTGTCACAGGTAACATCTCAACCCAGCAATAAGTAGTCTGCAATTTGAAAACAGAACTTCTTCTGCGGTTTAAATTCAACTCGATGTTTGTTAAACAGAAAACCCGGGTCGCCACTAAACCCGGCTTAGCTTCGGTGGCAACGGCCCGCAGTTATTGTTGGGGTCGAGAGAAGCCCAGCCAGCAGCCAGCCAGGAAACTCAAGGCATATATTATTTTGTAATATCATGATAGGCTATATTGCACCTCTTGTATATGCATGCACAAATGCACAGTGAACTGTGCAGAGAGGGTAGCAGTGGGTGGTTGAATTTGTGAATAACTGAATTTGTGCATAAATGAATGGCTGTTGCCTTCTAAAAAAAATCATATAGCAATTACGGTATATCTTGTGCGAATATACATCGAGATGATTCACATTACATTTGTCAAACCGCTCTCGACGAAGACCTTCCTTCCCACGCACGCCTTGCTCGGTCATTGATGTTGTTTCAGCATACTTCACCACGCTGGTCGGTGCGGGTCGTTTAAGTGGGCTGCGATGCCACAGGACCTGGTTCTGGTATCATTCATCACGTACGCGAGCCGTGGCCTGGAATCAAACGGAGGTCGCCAGGTTGAGCGTGTTGACCACATCGCCACTGCTCCCCCGTACCGTCGGACACTTTTTAATCATACCGCGCCTCCCATGCAGTACATCTGGAGGCGCCCTGTGGCAGTCCGGCTAAATGGCGGGGGGGGGGGTGACCCGGCAGCTGTCCCTGTGTGGCAAAATGTGAATACAGCACCGGCCTGCAAGTGGGCATTGGTCTGCCAGTAGTGGGGTCAATGTTGCTCTGTGGCCGTTCCCAAATGATCTACTGCTGGACGATGATGTGAGCGCTCGGTTGCGTATGATGGTAGACACTTGGCCACGCACTGTTAGAAGACAGGTCAGGTGGTGGGCGACCTCGCGGTGGACGTTATTTAAAAGCCTCCTCCTAGTCCACACCGTGCACACAGGCACGGTGCACGAGTAGCACGTAGACGCGTGTTTACGTATGTACGTTGAACTTCTTTCGCACCGTACCTAGCCAACCGTGCCAGTTGCAGGTAGACGCAAGCAAGTGGTGACGGTAACTGGGCGTTGAGTGCGGGAGACCCGGTTGACGGGGGCTATTTCAACAGCTTAAACCTCCGGGTTAACGAGACCGAGGTGACGACTTAACTCAGCAACTAAGGCTTATTGTTAAAGACCCCTCGGCAGTCAAAGCCTCGCTTAGTGGAAGCCGCTTAACCCACAGTCTGGAACCGCCGGCCGTCCGTGCTGTCGA